CTAAAGCAAACAGGTATCCAATCCCAGAAATTAACGAGGTAATCTCGCAACTGGGAAACAAGTCATACTTTTCAGTGTTGGATTTAAAGGGTGGCTTCCATCAGATTCCCTTGAAGGAATCCGACATCGAGAAGACAGCCTTTTCAATTAACAACGGAAAATATGAATTCACCCGACTTCTGTTCGGACTGAAAAACGCACCAGCCATCTTTCAAAGGGCTCTGGACGACTTATTAAAGGACCATATAGGAAAAATTCGTTATGTTTATATTGATGACATAATAGCTTTTGGCAAAGACGAACAAAGCCACCTTCAAAATGAAAAACAATTTTCTACACATTAGAAAAAACGAATATGAATTTACAGTTGAACAAATGCGAATTTTTCCGCAAAGAAGTGGAGTTTTTAGTTTTCATTATTTCACCCACACTGAAAGACTTGAGATCCTTTCATGGCCTATCAGGCTTATCGACGTTTCATCAGAGATTACGCCAATTAGCGAAACCTCTGACCTCGCTTTTGAGAGGGGAAGATGGACGAGTGTACAAAGCAAGTCACGTTCGACCGAACCGCTTTAGATACATTCAATAAAATTAAAGCCTCATTAATTTCAAAAGAAGTTATGTTAGCATATCCAAATTTTAAACAATAATTCCACTTAACTACTGATGCATCCAACTACGCTTTAGGAACCGTCCTTGAGCAAGCAGGAAAACCAATTACATTTATTTCCCGTTCAATAAATAAAACTGAAGAGAATCATGCGGAAAATAAAAAAGAGATGCTAGCAATCATCTGGGCTCTTACCTCACTAGGAAATTACTTGTATGGATCTGCAAAAGTTGTAATTTTCACAGATCACCAACCGCTCACTTTTGCAGTAAGTAATAAAAATCACAATGGCAAAATGAAGAGATGGAGACGCACTGTCTAGACCGACATCAATGTATTATCAACAACCGACCACAGCGATGAAAGTTCTTCTCATCACCTATTTCCAGCTACGAATTCAAAAATCAGTAATTCTTACAATATGGCAACGTAGAAAATTACTCATTTAAAATACCCTTTCCAACTTTTCACAGACATACCATCACAAAACAAAACAGACTACTCTACACAAGACATTATAGTTATATTCAAAAGATATCTTTACCCAGCTTTAATTAACGGTCTTTACACTACAGAAAATCTGATGGGTAAAATATATCCACTCTATTTCGCAAATGTTAAAATTCGATTCACTCAAACTTTACCTCAAGAAGTAGTTTCAGAAACAGAAAAAGACCAAATAATCATTAATGAACACCAAAGAGCACACAGGAATAGTTGTGAAAATAAAACACAAATTTTACAAAACTTTTATTTTTCACGCATGCATTCGAAACTAGAAAAAATAATCAAACAATGTTACACATGTCGTGAACACAAATACGATAGACACCCACCAAAGCCACAGATACAAGAAACTCCCATTCCTCAGACTCCAGGAGACATCGTCCACATAAATATTTATTCAACAGAAAAGAAATTAATCCTTACAGCAATTGACAAATTTTCCAAATACGCTCAAGTTAAAATAATACGAAGTAAAGCCGTAGAACATATTAAAGACCCATAAGAGAATTAATGATTGCCTTCGGAATATCTAAACTTGTAGTAATTGACAATGGAAAATCCCTAAATTCTGTAACCGTATCATGCCTTCTTAAAGACCAAATGTCCATCAACGTTTACACCACACCACCTTATAGCAGCACAAGTATTGGACAAGTAGAGAGATTTCATAGTACACTTTCTGATATTATGAGATGCCTCAAAGCAACTTGTGTGGGAATAACATTCGAGGAGTTATTATTCAAATCAGTACAAGAATATAACTCATCAATCTATAACCATGTTTTTCGGAAACAGAATTTTCACTGAACCACAAAGACAAAAAAACATTGCTCAATTAAAAAGGAAACAGGAGATTGATTTATCTTACGATAACAAACAAAGATCCGAAATTAAACACTATTCTGCAGGAGATACCACTAATGTTAAAATAAATAAAAGATTAGGATCGAAATTAACTCCAAAGTATAAGAAAGAAACTGTAGCCGAAAATAATAGAACAACATTTAAAACTACAGCAGGACGAATAATTCATAAACCACTAATAAAAACTTGATCAATTTACTTTCAGACAAAATGAACTATATAACAGTTTTAATCGTTTATACCACTTTTACATCCTCCCGCCGATTTAAATATTTTGGATTACAGTAAGGCACAACTAGTTACAATAGACAATGGACAAGCGAAAATACAAGACGGCACATTAAGACTTATTCATTTGATTGACTTAGAAAAATACGAACAATACTTAACGGAAACTTATGATGAAATAACCACCCGAATACCTAAAAACAATTTCCTATACCCTATCCTAAAGCATGAAACCACCTAAACCTTTGAAATACTGAACACCCTGAAACCTTCCAATGATAACAAAATAAAAAGATCAATTGGCATATTGGGAACGGCTTGGAAATATTTAGCCGGATCTCCTGATCATGAAGATTTAAACATAATAACAGATAACTTAAATATATTAAATGAAAACAATGACAATCAAATAGTAATTAATAATTTATTTGAAAAACGAATAAATAATATTACTAGTATATTTAATAAAATCATAAATTCAATTAGTAAAGATGGTAATACCTAAACTGAAATTTTAATATATTGTATTATCAAAACAGGATGAGACTAGTTCAGGAAGAATTAATAAATATTAGATACGCCATTCAATGGGCTAAAAATAATATTGTAAACTCAGTAATATTAAGTAAACAAGAAATTGAACTGTCAATGGAAAAATTAATAAAAGAAAAAATAAAATTCAAAAGTGCAGAAGAAGCACTAGAATTATCGAAAATAAATGTTTTATGCAATAATATCAAAATTGTATATGTTATTAAAATACCCTTAATGACAAAAGAAATTTTTAAGAAAATTATTATAAGACCTGTAAAAAAGTTAAATAATAATATAATTTAAGCTGAATTTAGAGAAGTATTAAAAGGAAAAATTTATTATATGGAATAAAAAATACAAGTGAATCTTTTAATGATATAACAATATGTAAAGAAAAAAATCTAGTAGATTTAAACAAGAATCTTTGTATAACCAGAATAATTAATAGTTTAAATGCAACTTGCACTACAACCAATGGTCCCTAGTCCCTACGGTAGAAGAGATAAAATCAGGCGTAATATTATTGAACCAGTTCAATGGAGAAATTGAAATCGACAAATAATAAATGGAATGCACGTAATAACATTCTACAACACATCTATTAAAATCAACAGGAAAGAATTTACAAACACCGAATCAAAGGCTATCGAGACCCTTCCTGTGATTCTGCAACCAGCCCCATTAGAAAAAGAACATATAGAACTGCTTTCACTACAGAGCTTGAAAGACTTACATATCCGCAACATGCACCGCATAAATTTTCTGAAGAAAGCGACCTTATCTGTCGGAAGCTTAACTTCAATAGCGTTTTGCTTAGTTATCATAATAATCATTTTGCTAAGGAGGAGATCCATAAAAATCCAATATGTGGAAAACGAAAATGTAAAATCTATAATAAAAATTAACGAAACTCAGCCAAGTGAGCCAAGCCAAAATCCAACGTACGTAAATTTTAATAACTTCCCATTCTATTGATGATCGAGGACGATCAAGCTTAAAGGGGGAAGAGTTAATACAACTGCTTACAATAATTCTTGCGAATTAGGCAATAATCCATGCACCTCGATAAACAACGCTACACGCGCATCCGCTTGATTGCTGACGCCGCACTAGCCAAAACGGAAATATTATTGGAGTAAATGATTAAACAGCAGTTTACCAATATTTCACATGCAGATGCAAAGTGACTTGGTGTCGACCAAAAGTTTCATTTAGGCTTAAGAAATTAATATTGCTTAGTCTTAAGTTTGCTGATAATAAATAAAGACACAGCGGACGCAAGTCCGCTTAACTTTAAAAACCCTTAATTTAATGTAAGAGTTTAACTTATACAGTATAGAACTCTACGCCGAACTGATAGGGCGATGTAATCAATGTAAGTATTTTATGTTAAATTTATTAAATAATGTAATTAATTGTTTTTATGTTGTTGTTCATTAGTTACCTGAAGACAGTTACTGAAGAGTGCCCGAAATATTTATATCGAAATTAAACCAAACTAATATTGTGCTTTTATTGACCTCAAGTCGGCAAACAAATTTCAATTTCAAAATATAAATAATGTCGTCAAATACCATTTAAAAATATTTTCTTTTAAAACGAGTCACATATCGAGTGGAATCGAACATTAGACACCTGGCGATTTTGCAGTAATGCAGGAAAAAGTCCGATTATGGATATACGAGTATGGGTGAGTTCCAAACCGTCAATAGCAAAGCAACCATACATTGTTCCAAAATGCATCGGTTATTGATGCGCGAACAAAAGCAAACTGCGCTTCGCTTAGGTTTGTGATGCTTTATTTTATCATAAATTCTTGGCAACAACGGCCAGCGTCAATGGGCATGTTTTTTGCGCTAATTACTATTTTTAAGCATTAAATTACTTATTTTTTTATGTGTTTTATATTTTAACTATTTCACCGGAAAGCAACTTATTTGCACGAAAAGCGTTCCAAAATGTCAGAGTTTGCAAAACATTGTTGCAAGGCAAATTCAAAGAATGCAGGGTTTCATTGTAATGATGCGCTTTGGCAACTGCATCATAACAAAGTATCTTGACGATTTGGAACCCGTCCTATGTTTGTCGAAGCACGAGCGGATTTTTAAGCAGAAGTTAGGTATTTCATCTGTGTTACCAGTAATAAATAAAAAGTGCACAATAGTTAAAAAAAATACACGTTTACGAAATCATTTATTTATCCAAATGTACGAATATAATCATATTGCTGTCGTTTTTTTTTTTACAAAAATAGTGGCACCTACCTGTTTTACGAGGATGGAGATGTACACAAACCCCGGTTAATGGAACGAGCGTGGAATCGAAATAAATTTCACTTCGACGATGTGGCAAAAGCGATGCTGACATTATTCACAGTGTCTACTTTTGAAGGATGGCCTGCGTAAGTATGCTGTTTTGCCATATCTTTTTATACTCAATACCTGCATTCATAACAAGAAACTATAATATACTTTTCCTATTGTAGTGAAATTACTTATGCATAATCATTTTTGTATTGTACATAAATTAGTGTGAGTCAAACATCCCTTACATTTTGAAGTAATGCTGCATCTACCCATTTTACATACCTTCCGTCCATAACAGCTGACTAGAAGAGCATACACTAGTTATCGACGCTACTGGGAGCGGCGAAATGTTGCCAGCTGCGAGTGTGTTTGCAAATTTTTTAAGTAAAAAGTTCATTCGGTTTTGTACTGATTTTTCGAAATATTGTTTACATTTGTCCGATTTGAGTCAAATATGTTAACTTGTTGCCAACGATATTCCAACTTCACTATACCCTTATCGTCCCTGTTGGCACAAACCTCGGGAGATCCAATTTTTGCCGGCCTCTCTTGAGGCCAACTTTCACCACTAAGCGCGTTCGCCAGGGCCAGCAAAAGACGGTAATCACTTGGTGCCATGTTCGGACTATAGGATGGGTGCATTAGGACCTCCTAATTGTGCTTCTGGCGAGTCACCAAAGACATGTGTCGCCTGGCATTGTCCTGATGGAACACAATTGTTGATCAATGATAGCCTCTTCTGGGTGAGTGCTGCCTTCAAGAGGTCCATTTGTTGGTAGTAGAAGGCCGAATTGGCGGTGGGGCCATAGGGGGGCAGCTCGTCGTAGATGATTCCCTGCCAATTCGGCCTTGGTCACCGTCTGGGCCGCTTCAACAGCTTTGACCACCACCATTTGCGCTCGATGTTGTCGTAAGTGCCACATTTTCCATCGCCAGTCAAAATCCGCTTCAGAAACGGGTTGATTTTGTTGTCTGGGCCGCTTCAACAGCTTTGACCACCACCATTTGCGCTCGATGTTGTCGTAAGTGCCACATTTTCCATCGCCAGTCAAAATCCGCTTCAGAAACGGGTTGATTTTGTTGCGAATCAGCAGATGAACCGATAAAAACCGAACGAACATCTTACTTGACCTATTATTTATAGTTTTCGTCAACAAATTCCATAATTCATATATTTGAACATAAACGCCAAACAAATATATATGATCTTAACGCTAACAAATAATTATTATATTTCTTTTGAAAAAAACAACGCATTATCTTCAATAATTTAATACTACTTTAAAAAATCCTATACTGGCAACCTTGTATAGCATCGAGAAATGAGCCGAGCCGGTTTTACGGAAAAATCAAATAGCATTTTTTTTGCGCAGCGCATTTGCCAGCTTATGCTGCAACTACCCAACTCACGTACCAGCCGTCCATAGTAACCTATCTTAAGAGAGCGCCATGTAAATACAAAGTTGTCACCGCTTGCCCATGCCGTCAGTGACGGTTGTCCCGCAGAAACCAACGACGATTTGATTTTTTCCGTAAAAGCGGCTCGGCTCATTTCTCGTGGCTATACAAGGTTGCCAGTATAGTCTTTCTTAAAGTAACATTAAATAATCGAAGAAAATTCATAGTTTTTTTCAAAAGAAATAACAACTAAATGCGTAACAATGCGTTTGTTAGCATATAGATCGTGTATATTGGGCTTGCGTTTATGTATGTTATGTTCAAGCATATAAATTATGAAATTCGTTGACGAAAATTATAAATTTGTTCAGAAGTGTGCAAACACACTGGCAGCTAGCAACATTTCGCCGCTCTCAGCAGCGTCGATAACTCGTGTAAGTATCTCGCCTAGACGTCGCCAGTTATGGACGGCTGGTAAGTAAAATGGGTAGTTGCACACATAAAGCTAGGCCAAGGGGAATTGAGAGGGGAAATATGTTTTTCACATTTCTTTAGGCGGAGCAATACAAATTAATTTTTAAGTAGTATGGTCGTGTAGAGCAACTGACAACTTTTTGTTAGTGGATTACTTATTATTTTTGAAAAATAGTTTTTTTGAGAGCGCTGGACTTAATGAGTAGACCAAAGAATACATAGAGAAAGAAAAAGTAAGGCTATATGTGACGTTAGCACCCAAGTTGCTAGGGGAGAAAGCGAGTATATAAAATAAAAATTAATTATTTTCTCTTTTAGAAGAGAATCTGTAAGTTTTCCAGTGTTGAACACACGGTGATTTATTGGTTATATCACAAAGTAAATTTGTTTATTCACACAGAAAGAATTATACCTTTTGTGTGTGGTCCAAAATCACCTAAAACTAGTTGCCAGGTATTACTATTTAAACCGGTTCAGCACTAATCTTTGAAATCAAGCAAAATTGTGTTGAATATAAAAAAACTTTGTAAAACATATTCGAGGTCAAAAATAGAAGAACTTAAAATCAGTAAATTTCTGTTTGGAATTCTTCAAAGTACTGAAAAATTGTTACTGTCAAAATAATTTTATTTTTTTTGTTTAGAACATTAATCACTTTACACTTATCTTACTAAACTTGTCATCCTTTTACTTATCTATTTATATATAATACATTTAGTATGTACATATATAGCTTACTACAACTCAGAAGCCATTATGGTTAAATTGCTTAATTAGAAATATAGTGTATCAATTTATTCATTACAGGCTCTTATATGTTTCTATTGATTCAAATGCAGAGGAAGGGGGACCCATTCACAACTTCCGTCCAATTGTGGCTGCCTATTACATAATTTACATTATTGTAATAGCTTTTTTTATGGTTAATATATTTGTTGGTTTTGTTATTGTAACGTTTCAAAACGAGGGTGAACAAGAATATAAAAATTGTGACTTGGACAAGAATCAAAGAAATTGTATAGAATTTGCACTCAGGGCAAAACCAGTGCGGCGTTATATACCGAAACACGGCATACAATATAAAGTTTGGTGGTTTGTTACGTCATCATCTTTCGAATACACCATATTTATATTAATCATGATCAATACGGTAACACTGGCAATGAAATATCACAATCAACCACCATGGTATACTGAACTGCTTGATGCTTTAAATATGATTTTTACCGCTGTCTTCGCGTTGGAATTCGTATTCAAGCTGGCGGCTTTCCGGTTCAAGGTAAGTAAAATAATATTCTAATATAATAGTTATTGAAACCTTATTTAAGATTATGATCCTTTTGGTTTAGATTTAGAATTTCTTAAGTCTGCAATCCACATATTTGGGAATAATAACTTTATACCAAAAATTTCAAAAACCATATGTAACTATATCTAGTTGTTTGCGCTTTCAGCCCTTCAAAGTACAACTACAATAAATAAAAAGAAAGACCAAATATTTGGACCATTTGCGCAAATTTATGTACATACATAAGTTCCTTATACAATTTGTTATATGTCGATACACAAATTCATTTTCTTTAGCAAACATGTAAAATGCACTAAATATCACGCTAATTTTCCTCTAAATACACTAAAGCAAAACTCATCGGATGTCGTGATTGTTTGTGTTTTTTCGTCAAAAAGATTGATGCGAATGATGAGCGACTTGTAGAGTTTGAAATTTGTTCACCGAGATAGGGCTTTACTTTCAATTGACTTGGAAACTTGAAATCTTGTCCCAAGCCTTCTTATACAAAAGATAGCTTGGTAAGTGGCTTAGTAGGATGTAGTAGTCGATGTTGCTACCTAGAAGGCTAAATTTAAAAAATTACACACATCTTTTCAGACCATCACAATATATCGTTTCGGCTTCGAACCTATTGATCCGATGACAACCAAATAGCTTTATCGGTTGTCATATCTCGATCCCGATAAGGAAATCTGATCGTGAAGAATGAACTTTCCGTCATTTTGTACCAAAAATGCTATTTTATATCGTGAAAAGGGAGTATCTCTCGTACGACCGTTTGAAGCATTTGGTAGAAAAAATGTTTGAACACTGCATATATCTATCTCTGGGAAGCGTGGGAGTAAAAAATTGGCATGTTAAATATATATAAGCCTTACACAAAATGTATGCACTTTTATAAGACCATTCTATTAAAATTCACAAAAATATACATACCTTCTTCATTCCTTGTGTGCCCATCGCATTTCATGGATGGTGGTGTAGTAAGCCTTTTCCAGAACATCAACCATCAACAATTCAATGATTTCCAGCTTTTCAATTATGAAGTAACAACCCTGACTACTGTAATGTTAGCAATGCTTATGCGAAATCTCGGTCCTCCTCAGCTATGTAAATGAATTTTTGTATAGCGGAATTGGGGCGAAATATACTCTATGCTACTATTTTAACAGGTGCCAGTGTGTACCTCGGACTCAAATTATTTCCACTGACTTTTCCTTACTATAAACAAAGCGCAAGAGCAAACATAGTGGAATAAATCGTATTTATAATTATTATAGGTACTTTGTAACCGCTGAAGCGATTTTTAGACGACCTCGTCCTCCGATTTGTATTGATGTTTTTCCAACAAATGGAGCAACCTACAGTTTATACTAAGCCGCCTCTGAGCGGCTGATGGATTTTTTATGAGGGGCCTTTATTTCCTGTACGAAATACACTCGGAGGGGTTAACATTCCCTGCCGAGGGGCAACAACAATTAGAAAATTAAATTTATTTCTTGTTTTAAATTAATTTTCTATACATTTTTGGATGTTGGTGGCACTAATAAATGTGTAAAAGAGTGTAGTCGAGCTTTGGGGTATACAGTTACAAGCCTAGGGCTGTACTAAATTCCTACTCTCGCTTCAAAAGCAACGAAGCGGCGAGGGCTGACCGCCCGAGCTATTTAAATTCGGCGGTGAAGAACTGATAATTTGCATGCATAAGCTTATTTGAAAAATATGGTCGTATAAAAGCATTTCCGACAGTTACCTATTCTATCTATTCTTAAATATCATATATAAGGTCCCATCGAGATGATATCGTCATTTATGACCTCAACAACCGCGCCGTGTGTCTTGCTTTCTTCAGACTAAATAAGGAAGCGAAGGATGTGGGTATGGTGGTGAACGAGAGCAAGACGAGATATCTCCTGTCACACACAGTCCTTGCGTCGGCTCTCACGCCACTGTTGGCAGTCATTAAATAGAGGTCGTAGTTAACTCCGTCTATCTTGGAACCAGTATTAACAACAAAAACAAAAACAAACAATATCAGTAGGGAAATCCAGCGCAAGGATTGAGTAGGCAATTGAAAAGTTAAGTGCTCTCCCTATGAACGGAGGCCATATGGAGCGAAGACATGGACGGTGACAACATCTGATGAAACCGCGTGAGGAGGTTTCGAAAGAAAGGTTTTGCGTAAAGTTTATGGACCGATGTCTGTACAAGATATGCGGCGATATTGGCATAGTTCAGTGGATCAAGAAATGGAGGCTGCACTGTCAAAGTCATGCGAACCGAATGGAATAGACTACTCCAGCTTTGAAAGTGCTCGATGCAGCTCCCTCCGGTGAAAACAGAGAAAGAGGAAAGTCCTGGCTATACTTGGAATTTGAAACTGGTGCCAAACTGCGCAAAGAAGAAATTATAACATTGTTAAGTTGTCTTTAATCTGTGCCAATAAAGAAAAGGAGGAATAACGAGTTTTCAGCGATTTGACATCAATTTTGGCCCCTTTCCTACGCGTGTTTTGGACCATAAGTCCAAATTTACCTTTTATGTCCTTCAAAAAAGTTCACGATATTTAAAAAAAAGTGTCAATGAAAGGTATTGTCTTACCGAAAAGTATGGCAGCGACAATAGCAGTCGACTCCAGTCAAAAGATCCTTTATCCAGCCACTCAATCGATCTGACTTAATTTCGCTGAGGCTAGCTCAGTGGACAAAGGTAAACCTGTATCATGTGCCCGTTTTATTGATTATAGAAAATTTTTTTTCTCTCTACTTCGTCTGCCATACATTTTACCAGATTGTATGAGTCTAGCATTTAGTCGATAGTTTGTTCAGATTACTTCTTCATTTTATCGGCACCCTTGATGTGGTACCGTTACATTGTAGAGATCTGATGACAACTTGACTGTCAAAATGTTTCGTAACTGATTGACCTGCTGCCGTTGATTTTAGCAGCTACTCCGCGGTTGCCACGATTACAAAGATTGGTGCTTGGAAGACGCTGCAGTGGTGTGGTATCGACATATTTATTTAGAGCGTCGGAGAACTCCTCATAAAAATCCATCGGCCGCTCAAAGGCAACTGAGAATAAACTGCAAAGATGGATTTGCCTTTGTGATCGGTGTAGTCCAACACCTTCGAAACCCCTGCAAGAGATAATATTGCAGCATGCCTTGCAATTCCTCCAAGGATATGTTGCATCCAATCTAATTGCGTTACACCTCTTTTGTAATATGCCTTACAAGAAGAAAGTTGAGAAGAGTTAGTTCTAGTAATTTTTCCGAGTACTACTACGTCGTGGAGTGGAAGTGGTCTAATTACCGATGTATAATTCCTGTACACGACATTCGACCTTAGACTCTTTTTTTATCGCCGTTTTGAAATGATAAAATGCAGTTATTGCGTGACCTGTTTTTCAGTATCTGCAACCAATCATGCTTTAAAACGTAATTACCGGCTTTAATATCTATAAAAAAAATTGGCGTAACAAATTTGCATCAACATCCTATTTATTGTGTTAGTGCTCAATCTTAATTATTTATATTAGTTCTTATCTAATTTGCCTTTGGTTTTGCTAATACATGTACATAATCTAATATGTCAACACAAAGAAAAAGTGGGTATAATGCCCTCTGATGAGGGCGTTAGTGGCAACAGACACAATAATTTATGGCGTTCACAATAAAAAAACTAACAGGCCTGATCCTATTAAAGTCAAATTAAATTCGCCATATGACCGCTTAGTTCTGTTTAAGGGGACTGCTTTCTCTCTTAAGGCAAGGCGTTAATCATTAGAACTTAAATATATTGGACTAGATGCTAATGGAGGCATTTTTATTATCACAAAGGGTTCAATGTTAGCCACTTTAATGCTAAGAGTTTAATCCGTGAAAAACTTGAAAATTTGAACTGGACGTTTCGTGGCCTAAGCTGAAACATAATTTGTTTTACTGACAACTGGCTCAAACGTTTTATAGCAGATTGTGCAGATAGAACCACTGGTTATATAGGGGTGGCATAGCGATTTGCTCGAACAATTCAGAGTCGCAGTCAGTTTTCGTATTTACCACAGTACCGAACAATTCGGCCTGATCAGCAACGATGGACTCAGGCACAAAGGGTCGTACAAATGGATGTAGTCCCATCGCTATCAAGGTTCAGACAAAATAGACTCCAACTAATAACCGGTATTAATGAGAGGTTCCATCGAGGAGCCTATCCAAGGGCTAACCCAAGTGGCTTACCCAACCAAAACACCACCCAGACCTTCGAAAAACAGGAGCCAGCTTCTTTGGACAGGGAAATGTCAAAAACAGACGACACGGGAGTGGACAGCAGGCATAACAAAAAGTTCAAAGGACAAACAACCTTACCCAGGAACAGGACGAGTCTGAGGAAGAATACTGGAATGACGCCAGTTATGATAATTATTACCAGAGCGAGGGTTATGCAAAATGTAATCCAGTTGAATACCAGGACAAAACAAATGATGATGTGAAGTTTTTAGGACAAAATTCGTCTTGCTCTATATCGAGCGTACAGGTGCTGTGAAGAGCTACATAAAACAGCACGATGACTTAAAAGGAATCAAGCCCACAAGCCACACCTTTACAGTCAAATCTATCCACGGCATCACTGAAATTGACAACTGTTGTACAATCATCATTTTTAATGGCATACATGTGATTGATTACCGATTATAACAAAACTAGTTTAAGTTTCAGTCTCTTATTATTCCCCAGTGAATAAAGACGTATACTCTAAGCAAGGATTCCAGAAACAAATTAAATTTAGCTTTAAAAAGCGTAGCTTTGTTCATTTGCACATTTCTTTGTACATCAAAAACATTCTCCGTTTCACCCTTGAGAGTCATCTCAAGGTTCGCAAATTAATATATATAATATATATCTCTTCCGCAAAATTTCGTTTGTGCAATCTTCTCGTACTTACAATATCTCTGACTCCAAATACAAAACTTTAACGACCTCTAGAATT